CAAAGAAAACAATGGCCTACCAGCCATCGCGCAGTCCCTTTGCGCCCGCGCAACAAGATGCCTTCTACGGAAACCCCCGTAGTGGGCTCCGCGGGTATGGGCTGTCGAACCACCCCATCCCCCTATCCAATAAAGTGAACGGCTATTTCGAAAAGGACCGCACACTACCTTTATACAAAGATAAGCCATTCTTTTCACCGCGGCGCACAGGTCCTCGAAGGAGATGGAGGCCGTTTCTGAACGTGCTAGGGGTGTGTACAGTGTTATTTGTGTTGTATTATAACTTCTACCTCCGCACGTGGTCAGGGCTACAGTCAAATGACAAGGGGGTAGAATTATGGAAATGGGCCCAGACTCTGGAAGACGGGAAATCTTCCGGGGAATTGTCTGATTGGACTGCGAGACGAGAGAAAGTGCGGGACGCCTTCATCGTCAGTTGGGAGGGATATGAGAAGAACGCATGGGGTAGGTCCTACAGAAGCCTTGTGTATTATGACAGCAACTAACACCATTATTCAGGATACGATCAGTATCGCCCAGTATCGAATGTTAACCAGGAAGATACGAGCGGTGGATTAGGCTGGATGATAGTTGACTCGCTGGACACATTGATGATCATGAATTTGACCTCCAAGGTCCACCGCGCGCGGCAATGGATATCAACATCGTTGAATTATGATCAGGACCGTGATGTTAATACGTTTGAGACGACTATCCGCATGCTGGGTGGTTTGCTGTCTGCACACTATCTGTCAACCCAATACCCCGATTTAGCACCCCTCAATGACGATGATGTCGGTGCCGCTGGTGAAGACCTGTACATCGAGAAAGCAGCTGATCTCGCGGAGCGGCTACTCGGAGCTTTTGAGTCTCCAAGCGGTATCCCGTGGTCAAATGTCAATCTCAACACATCAGAAGGTGTTGTCGTGCATTCCGACGAGGGAACTACGTCTATTTCTGAGGCTGGCTCGATACAGCTTGAATTCAAGTACTTGGCCAAGCTAACTGGCGAGGCGGAGTATTGGAAGTTGGTTGAAAGAACGATGAAGCTGGTTGACCTGCAAAAGCCGCAGGATGGCCTTGTCCGAACCGCCATCCACCCTGACAGCGGTGCATTCAAAGGAGAAAGCATTACTCTGGGCAGCAAGGCGGATTCTTACTATGGTATGTTGATGATACTCGGTGCTCTGTGGTTCTTTTAAGCTGACTCGCCCCAGAATATCTCATCAAGCAATACCTGCAGACTTCCGAACAGGAGCCCGTCTACAAAGAGATGTGGGACGAGGCATTGAGAGGCATCCGCAAGCACCTGGTCTCATTCACCAAGAACTCCAAGCTGATGGTTATCGGCGAGCGGCCCCAGGGCCTAGACCAGGACCTCTCGCCCAGAATGGACCACCTGGTCTGCTTTATGCCTGGAACAATCGCGCTCGGCGCGACCGGTGGCCAACCCCTGGCCCAAGCCCGAAAGTCAGCAGATTGGACTCAACAGCGCGAGGACGAGATCCTTATGTCAAAAGAATTAATGAAGACCTGCTGGGCAATGCACCAGGCAACGGCAACTGGCCTCGCAGCCGAGATCTCCCACTTCGTCCTTGACTCGCCGCCCGTGATGATGGCAGACAAGTACCCAGACCCAGTGACGAAGCCCAACCGCGCATCCAAGCCCGAGGTGTTACGCGGCATTTCCCAGTCCCTGGAGGCGCAAAGCGATGCGTCCGAGCCTTGGCGCGCGGACATCGACATCCATCCCAACGACCGCCACAATCTGCAACGCCCGGAAACAGTTGAATCCCTATTCTATCTCTACCGTATCACCGGCGACGACATCTACCGCCAGTGGGGCTGGGAGATTTTCAAGTCTTTCATCAAACACACAGCCGTGGTCGAGAAGAAGAGTACCTCCCGTATTCCTACGTCAACCAACACAGCGCCCGTTTTCCGTATCAAGGGCTTTACATCGCTCGGAAACGCGGATGCAGTACCTCCGTCCAAGCGTGATAACATGGAGAGCTATTGGATGGCTGAGACGCTCAAATATTTCTACTTGTTGTTCTCGGATCGTGATTTCATCTCGCTAGAGGATCACGTTTTCAATACTGAGGCCCATCCATTCCCGCGATTTAAACCTAGCGGAGAACTTAAGACGGGGTGGGAGAGGGCGCCTAGGCAGTAGATTTGCTGTGTGCTCTGCTCTAATGGAGCCTTGGTTGGCTATGGCTTTGATGTCTCTTATGTGTTCTGTGCAGCGCTTTTTTCTGTGCTTTTTTGTCTGCCCTCTGGGGCACCTAGATTTGTATACCAACCTTTTGTGCATGGCAATTTTACCTTTCAATAAGCAACACTCCCAGTATTGACATGGAGAAATAGCATTTCCTATTCAAGATCAAGCCACCTCTATTCTCTGTTGGGGACTTAAGGTAACCCAAAGACGAGACCTAGTAGCTGAAATTTTGTACACACTGCACCGGATATCACACACCTATCGAGATCAAATGCAACAAAAAACCGATCATACAGCCACTTCGTCCTTCTCTTCTCTCTCCAGCGCAGCCTCAATTAACTTTTTATATCCAACGACAGCCTCCTTAATCTGGCGGATGGTCAAAGCCTCATTATCACCATGAGCAACAAAAATACTGCCAGGTCCATACAAGTAGCGCTTGACACCAGGACCAACAGCCAGATTCGGCACATCAGTGCCATAGTTAACAGTAGTGACATTGAACCCATCAACATCAACATCCAAATCCTGCGGCGGATAAGACTCGCCATGCGAAACAAAGTCCACAACAACCTCCGCCTCAGCATCCCGAACCGCCTCATCAACAGCCCGCTGAACAATATCACGGGCCTCAGCAGGTGTACCAGCCGCAAGTCTCACCGCAACATCCGCCCACGCCTCAGAAGGAACAACATTCGTCGCGACACCAGCACGGATAACGCCAATATTCAGCGTCGTCGGTCCGTACTTCGGGGAGGCAGGCAGACCGCCCTCTTCGACGGGGATATCACCTAGCACGTCGACGCGCGAGAGAGCAGGCAGAATCGCCGAAACGGCGCTCTTGCCCAGCCATGGGTATCCCGAGTGGGCGGCGCTGCCGTGAGCAAGGACCTTGAAGCCGAGCATGCCCTTGTGGCCAGCGACGAGGGCTGCCTCAGTTGGTTCGCCGAAAATGACGGTTTTGAGAGCGTTTTTAGAGTTGAGGAATGAGTCCGAGTAGACTTTCATTCCGTCGCCGCCGATTTCTTCGCCGACGACGAAGAGCAGACCGAGCTTAGCGTCTGGTTGGGAGTCTAGTGTTTCGAGGGTTGCGAAGATTTGGGCTGCAACGCTGCCCTTTGCGTCGACGGAACCACGGCCTGCTAGGATGAGGTTCTCTGGGTCGAAGGTGGTGGTGGAGTCCTCGGGGTGGTGCACAGAGTATGGGATGAAGGGTGGGACGGTGTCGATATGGCTTGTGAGAAGAATTGAAGGGGGTTGTGTGTAGGATTTTGGAATGGCGTAGATGTTGTAGCGGGTCTTGGTGTTCTCTTGACCCTTCACTGGAGGCACCTCTTGCTTTACCACGGTGAAGTTCCGGGCCTCCAGGAATTGCGCGACAAAGAGCCCGACATCGTGCTCGTTACCGGAGACTGACTCGATCTTGACCAGGTCTCGGTGGAGTGATAGTACAGGCGAGCTGCTGATTATATCATCTAGGTCTGCTTGGCTATGGCTGGGCTGGGAAAGCGATGATGGCGCACCCAGTAGCTGTTGCTGCTGGGGTGCGGGGTGCGGAGAAGCCTGAACACCGGACATGATGGCCGCAGCCGCGAGATATGAAGAGAACTTCATTGAAAGATTGGGCTATGAAAATGTTCCAATGGGTATGAGTTTCCGTATTCAAACCAATTGAATAACCCTGACACCCAGAAAGTTGAGTATTTTGAGAAGCTTGCAGTAGGTCGGAGGTCCGAGGTCGGAAACACCCCGATGTATATGGTCACGTGGATAGATATAGTGTAGTTGCATACACAAAACACAGATGTCTAGGATTAGATATAGAACTGCTTGAATCTTATTGGATACATAGTAGGTCCGTAGTGCTTGTTCTATGGCGTGATTGAGTTGAATTGCCCCACTTAATTCGTATCAAGCCGGAGTTTTTTATATCGACATGTTATTCGCAATATATCTCCAGAAGCAGGCAAGAATGATGAAGTCTCGAGAAAGACAAATGATATCAGGTTGGGTATTTCATTTAGGGAAAGAGTTCAGATATCTTGATAATATCTGTTGAGATTATACTTCTAAATCATTATATGCAGCAAACCCACTAGTAAATAGACAGTAGTCCTAAGCCCGAAAGTATGAGATATAGCTACATATGTAAGACATATACATCCTATAGCCATGTGTTGTCATCTGCGGATCAATACTATACTGAGATATTTTGTCACATGCGGTTATACGAGGGATATGAATTCGGAATCTAGCATGACGCATAGCTGCCTAGTTGGTTAAATAGTATAGGTGCAACAGGACGATCATTCGTCGTGAACCACCCCAGATTTGCATGTGGCCTTTTAGTAAAGCCATTAATTAGTGTAACCCATTTTCCGGTGCTCGGTTGAGAATTTGGAGGGACTTGATTGTTGTGAAGCCAAAGCGAGATATAAATAGTAATGCTCAGCATGGGGGGTATACTCAAATTGGAGGTGAACTAGTGTCATATAAGTAATGATCTACACGTCCATGACAGTTAGTCCTATAATGTATAAACATCATATTCCATATATTGCACAGCATATATACTAGATAATCCCCCGGGTGTAGATCATCTGACTTAGGTATCAGGTCGTTCATTGGAAGGGTGTTAGATATAAAATATGGATTGTATACCCCCGTAAGGTAAGATGGATAGTTCTTAATATATCGCATTATTCTACTCAATATCCTCAGCATTCTTACTACACCAGTTTAACTTAACATCCAAAAGTTTGACCCAAAGAAGATCATGGAGTCTTATCGGAGAAGACTGCTTGCTAGAACGGTAGATGATCGTGCTGAAACCAATCCCAACCAACGATTTGCGGTAATTCCACAGGGATCAGAAATAAGCAATGGGTTCCAAGATCTTTCAATCAAAGACCTAGCACGGACCGTAAACTTCATGTGCTGGTGGATTGAAAGTATCATTGGACCGGCAGAATCCCCAGAGACGTTAACCTACATGGGGAGCAATGATATACGCTATTTTATATTTATTCTTGCATGCCAGAAGACTGGATACCAGGTAAGAAAACGAAGTAATTGAAGCTCAAGATTGAACTGTCTGGCTGATTCTTCTAGGCCTTCTTACCTTCCACCAGGAACTCGGACGAAGGCTATGTTCATCTACTGAAAGCGACAAACTGCACCAAGTTCTTCTTCAGCGAGGAGCGACAGACACGAACCCTGGAGATTCAGGGACTTATTTCGGCATTGGAAATCTTCCAGGTCCCGACTATGAAGAAAATTCTCGGCGATGAGAGTGGTCTGCACCACTATTCATATACCAAGTCTTATCCCGATGCAGAGAATGACATAACGTGCATCCTTCATAGCTCTGGGACGACAGGTAAATTTCATGAACCGGTACTGTGAACCCGCAATAATTTCTGCTACAGGCATGCCAAAGCCGGTGTATCTCACCAACGGCTACTTCATGACCATAGATTTTAGTTCTCATCTCCCAAGGCCTCCAGGTCGTCAACCATCTATGTTCCACAATCTTGATCAAACTGACCTTGTGCTGGCTACGGCACCATTCTTCCATCTACTGGGACTTCTAGCATCCGTGTACTCAGTGTGGTTCGAAGTTCCCGCCCTCGTCAGCCCAGACAAGCCACTCTCCGTCGATCATATGATAGAGCTGCTACGGACTGCCCACCCCACAGTCGCATTCTGCGTACCCTCGATCCTGGTAGACATGAGCTACTCCGAGAAAGCACTAGCTTGTTTGAAAGAACTCAAGTCAATCTACTTCGGCGGCGCTCCTCTGTTCCACGAAACTGGAGAGATACTGCGCAAATATACGCAGCTCATATCAATAACTGGAAGCAGCGAGGCTGCCGTGATTCCAGCGCTGGTGCCGGAAGACCCAGCCAACTGGGGCTATTTTGAATGGAACGAAGCCTACGGGGTCGACATGCACGATGTCGGGGAAGGTATATTTGAGAAGGTGATTTCTCGACAGGAGAATGCTCGCGGCTTCAAGGGGATTTTTCACACATACCCTGACATCAATGTGTATCGAACCAACGATCTATATACCCCACACCCGACGAACCCACATCTGTGGAAGTTCTATGGGCGTAAGGATGATGTGATTGTTCTAAGCAACGGCGAGAAGTTCACTCCTGTCGGGATGGAGACTATCATTGAAGGACATCCGCTAGTAAGAAAGGCGGTTATTGTCGGCCAGTCTCGGTTCCAGGCTGGGTTGCTCGTCGAGCCCAGTCATGGAGGACCGGGTATGGACGCAAAGGCTTTTGTTGAAGAGATCTGGCCGACGGTGCAAGTGGCCAACCAGACCATTGCGGCTCATGGACGGGTGATGAAGAACAGGATCTGGCTCGCAGTGAAGACGAAGCCATTTAAGACGACTCCTAAAGGTAGCGTACAGCGCCACGCTGTGCTTCGAGACTACCGGAAAGAGATCGATGCAATGTATGCCGAAGACCCCGAGGATGACTTGAACCAGTGTCTGCCAGAGACGTTGGACCATGAGAGTGTTACAGAGTATATCCGCCAGACTATTACCCGTGTTCTGGAGAAACCCAAGATCGCAAATGCCCAGAACCTTTACTCTGCTGGTCTGGATTCTCTGATGACCTTTCATGTCTCTCGGGTGTTGCAAAAGGGCATCCAGCTATGTCAGCCAGATGGGAAAGCAGGAGCCATCGATGCCCAAATGATCTATCGCAACCCAACAATTGACCGATTGTCTCAAGCCATAATGGCCATCTTAGATGGAAAACCCCAAGCTGGTATCCCGCGAGCAGAGAAGATCCAGGGTCTGGTAGAAAAGTATACGTCCGATCTTCCGGCGCGGGAAGTCTACCCTCAGAGTGGATTGCATTCGCCTTCGACTGTGATACTGACTGGTTCAACTGGCTCACTGGGAACCTATCTACTGCATTCTCTGCTAAGCAGTGATTCCATCACTAAGGTTTACTGCCTCAATCGTTCAGATGCTGAATCTCGGCAGAAGAGAGGTTTCGGGGAGAAAGGATTGCATCTTGACGCAAGCAACTGGAAAGATAAGGTTGAATTCCTACAGGCCTCATTTGGAGAACCACGATTCGGGCTGAATGAGTCCAAGTACGAAGAACTCCTCGACTCAGTTGACACCATCGTCCACAACGCCTGGAAAGTCGACTTCAACCATTCCGTCGATTCCCTCGAGGACACTCACATCCAAGGCGTACGACGATTTATAGACTTTAGCTTGAGCAGCCGCAGCAACGCTCATTTTCACTTTATCTCCTCAATTAGTACGGTAGGCGCTTGGACCCCAGAAATGGGAGCCTCGATCCCAGAAGTACCTATGGAGGACATTGCCGTAGTTCTTCCGCAAGGCTACGGCGAATCTAAGTACATTGCCGAGCGTATCTGTCTCGAAGCCTCACAAAGATCTCATATCCCCACGTCAGTGTATCGGGTCGGACAAATCGCCGGACCGACCACCGCGCGCGGACAATGGAATCCGCAGGAATGGCTACCGACAATTATCGCGACATCCAAAGTGATGGGTAAAATCCCTAACCGATTGGGCTCGACCGCGGTCGATTGGGTGCCGGTGGTAAGCCCCCCCGCCTCCCATCACAAGCACTATATTTTTTTTGACCAGGTCCAAGAGCCGGATAGCCGAAAGGAAAAAAAAAAACCAAGACCTACCGCTGATCACAATTTCTGACTTGCTTCACTTAGGATACTGTATCCAATATTATAGTAGAAATTATCAACACACGTCATAGGGACTCATCCGAAGCACGGTGTGCCGTGTTTCATCTCACGAATCCCGAACGAACACTATGGTTGTCGTTGATACCGGCAATCCAAAGACAGTATGCGGTCGAGCCAGTTGCATTTTCTGCGTGGATTGCCGATCTAGAAAGTATAACCAATCCTAGTAGTGCGGATATTGCTTCAAAGCCCGCGCTCAAGCTACTAGATTTCTACCGCGGGCTACAAGACGAGGGTAGTGCCCTGTCTGTGGCGCTGGATGTCCGACGGGCGAAAGAGGCAAGTGTCAGCATGAGAGCCCTAGGCCCGATCTCTTCCTCGCTGATGCGAAATTGGCTGCAACAATGGAAATTTTGATTAAATTGAATTATATATTGAATTTTATACTGCCTCCAATAATAGATGTACGTAAATGTTCAGGACTTTGTATATTACTTTTATGATATTCTCTGGATGTTTTTCATTGAGCATGACATAACTGCCCGTGATCGGAGGGCCTTCCCAAGGTTCCTTATGGCTCGGGCAGGGCTTAATTGGGCGATTACCTCAGAAATCTACAAGATTAGGTTTTTCTTTTTTTCTTTTTTGCGTTTTGCCGAGTGGCGATGATTGGCCACCCGAGATAGAAGACCCATGCCATTTTGGGCTGCAGTGTGGTCTATTCTGTCCTAGTGACCTGCAGGGATGCCTAGCGAGAGATGGGATCGGAGAGATCTCCAGGGGCAAAAAGAAGAGACAAATGATCTGATAGATCACAATAATTGACAGTATTAGAAGTCACCTGAAGAAAAAAAAAGTGACTTGTCCAGCAAGTCCCGTTGACAACTTGACAAACCCGAGAATCCATCCCGGTTGCTGTGCCAAGGCTCACGCCCCCAAAGGCACACCCGGCGGGCAGAGGAAGTGGCGCCAAACACCATGGATCTCTTACCTTTTCCCCCCATCGCCTCTCCAATCATGGAAAAATGGAATGTTCCCCGAATCCCGAATTCCCCGAGCGAACGTTGGTTAGGGCCATGTGGACCTGACATCTGGTGCCAAAAATGAAAGATTTTGCCCTCTTTCCAAGGTTTCTTTCTATTTCCCCTCTCCGGCGGTACCTATTCCTTCCGATGATTGTTATGATTGGATGACGATTCTCCCCTCTCCTAGTACCACTTGCTACCTAGGTACTGTTGTAAGTAGTGCTCTGATGTCTGTTGTAGTCCAGATCTAGTTCGGAGTTTGCACAAGTTATCGTAGGACGGGGCACACCAATATACATACCTAGCAACTCCGTGCCCTACCGAATTTCGAACCGATAACCCTCCATTGTGCTACCCCTACTCGTCATACTCGGACAAAGTTCTGACCTCTACGGGACGGGACCTTGTCCGCGGTTGCTCAGCGTTGTCGGAGCTCTAATACAAACGGGATGGATGCACCAGCCCGTGTGTAGATTAATAGAATGGGGATGGGTATACCCAGTGGTTATGCTGGGCCGAATGATAACCGAGCACGGAGTACGGAGTACTACAGAGTAAACAGACCAGAGCTGGATAAATAAGGATAATAAGCGGATGTATCCAACACCTTTCCCCCCAATCTATAGAACGAATCAGGACGGATCGACTGGGTCGCAATTGCATCATAATGGTTCCCCTCTTGAGTCCACTTCAGTCTAGATTGTTTGCCGATCGCACACACAACTAGATTTTGTACCCAATTGAGAAAAGGGTCCTTGGGGGGGATCGATGTAGAACATTGGGCTACACAACATATCTGTGTAGCCGTTGGGGGGTGGTTTGAAAAACAATCGAATTAGAGATACACCAATAAATACTGTAGTATATAAAATATAGTATGAATAAAATGGATAAAATCTATTAGAATAAATGGATATAAAAGAATAAAGAGGACTTCCAGACTTTTGATTACCATGGTTCAAGCAGTGTCAACCACCGGAACTCAGCGGAGCAAACCTTGGAAATATGGATCGGCGAGTTTAGTTCCGTTCAAGTTGAGGTTAGTCAACTTTTTTTTTCTTTGGGAATCTCATGGAATTCTCCACTAACGGTTGTTTGGACAGTCTAGAGCCAACAACACTCTCTCTCTACAGTTCGCCCATTTCTCTCTCATTCCTCTCATTTCTCATCCTCTCTCTCTCTATTCACCTTCATCTACTCTCTCATCTATCAAAAGGGCCAAGCCATAGAATCTGTACTACCCAGGATCTCCCTGTTGGCTCAGTCCGTTTGCCGATTGTAAGCAAAAGCACCGAAACCTCTCTTTCTGCCCAGCCAGTTGGTCTCGTCAACTTGTTTGGTCCACGTCGCTCGGTGGAATTCGTTTTGTTTTTTCCTTTATTTTTATCTTGTATTTCTGAATTGTGTATTTTTGGAGTTTCCTACCTGGACGATAATCATATTTGGATTTCTCATCTTCATCAGATGCTAACTGGCCCTAGGCCTCAGTTCCCGCGTTTCCCGGACTATTACTCTCTATCTCTCTCATCACACCGCCACGTCCATTCCCGCCCAAAGGCCATTAGGGAATGACTTGTTGAAATTGAGCGTTGTCTCTCTTTATCTTGTGGTCACCCCTCACATCCAATGCTGAACTGCAACCGTCCCCTATATACCAGCCACCCCGTCCACCAGCGGCGCTCACCTTGTGAGAATGTACAAACTGTCTCAAATAATCGACGCGACACGAGAAAGTCTCGACGCGGCCGATTCACCTACACGCCAGCCGCACTCCACATTGACTATTAATACCTCCGCGCCGGCCTCACCTGCTATCTCTTTGTTCTCCGCGGCAGGCCACAACCGGGTCTCTAGCTCCGTCTCTTCCCTTGTCTATTCAATGGAAAGTCCTAGTCGGAGTCATTTGACAGGAGTCAAAGAAGAGGAATGCACACGCGACTCGTTGGAAGATCATTATTTCCGTATGTGTCAATCGCCACAAAATCTCCCCGGTGATACCGCAGTTGCTAACCTAGACTTTTTATATAGAGCACTTTGATCACGGCATGTCTGCAGAAGAGTCATACTTTGCCCCCGTCCATAACTCAGATAGCTACGATCTGAGCGTTACCAGCATGGAGACTCCCCCATCACCGAAAAAGAGACGCTCAGACAGTGTCTCAATAAAGGGTGTCTCACGCATTAACTCACACATCTCGACCATGTCGGCACGGTGGAAGACTAAGCGGTCCTCCAGTGGCGCAGAAGGCGATGTTTTCCCGGATGATCTACGATCGCGCGCGAACTCGACGGCCTCCTCCGCCTTGGCAAGCCCCATTGTTAGCTCCATGCCCATGAGCCGTGTTGACTCTATCCCCCCTTCTCCTGCGCGAACGATCTTCGAGGAACGCGCGAGCGAATCTGGTGCGCGCCCAATCGACATCACCCGAGCGAACAGTCTCAGCCAGGACGACAACGATGTGCAGAAAGCGACAACCCCTCTCCTGCCACCGTTTATGGGAGACGACCCAACGAGCATCGCAGCATCCCGCGTCCAGTCACCCCTGCAGTCTCCGTCAGTCGCAGACGCGAACGAACCACACTATAACTATAATGTGACCTCAGACCCGCGGTTTATGGGAGTTCTTCCCTCGCCACCCCTCTCGTCCAAGCCTTCCGTGGCCTCCTTCAACCGGCCACGAGCCAGCACTGTGCGCACAGTCTCAGGCGATGTAACCCCCCTCGTCCTCTCCGATCCCAATGATGAATGGGCCAACAAACTCGGCCACGCCAACTTTACCATCATGCCCGAGCCTTACGACCCTGTGGTTTGCGACCTCGGCAATTTCCAGCAGGTCCGTGCAGACTGGGACATTGCGCGTTGCAACTTTGCGAAGCACCTCGTTCGCACCGGTGAACACTACGGCGTCACCTCCAACATCTACAAGCTCACCATCGAGAAATGGGAGTCGATCAACTGCGAGTGGGCAACTCAACACGGGACTATGCTCGAACAGCTCAGTGCGATAGATGGCGTTGCTCTCACGCTCACTCAGTCTAATATCCACCCTTGCCAACAAGTCCGCATCCCGCGTCTGCATGACAACGACAAGTTCCCCGAGATGGGGGATGAGGACATTGTCGGCCCAATGACTGTGGCACCGGCTACGGAGATTGCAGGTTCCTGCCGTTCTGAGAAAAAGAGGAATTTCTTCCGCTTTTTACAGGATTTGGTCTCCCGACCTTAAGACCTGAGTCTCTTTGTTAGGCTGTTGTCTTTTTTCCTCTTTTTTTTACATTTCCAAGCGATCCACCACGATAATGACGATAGACTATTCCCCGCGCGCCTTTTGATGACTCCTTCAAGCTCGCCCGCAATGTTACGATTAATGTCTCTCTTTTAATGTTTTCCTTTTGGAATTTTTTGTTTATAATGACTCTCATGACTCACGATTCGGATCAGCGACTACTGTTCTCGCCCTGAATCATGCCATTCCTTTGTCTATATCCCGAGTCTTGTCTTTTCCAGGGGGTTATCTTTGCTTCCTTTTTTGGTCCTGGTTGTCTTGCTACATTTCCAAAGACACCACAATCCTTTGAACAGGTGACAAGCAAGAAAACGGAACGAAAAGTTAACCCCCAAAACTGACTGGGTGCACTACCCTCCTTCTTCTCCTTTTGTTCTGTTTCTGTTTCCATTATACATATACTATACCCCTCATACACCAAGCCTACCAGCCGTTGTACCCCATAGACTTCAACCCTATCCACCCACGTCTCTGCTCCACAAGCAGAACAGGACAAAAAAGCCAAAAACGCATCTGAAAAAAGTACCTTATCATGTCTCTATATGTATATATCTAGCTTATGCACAATCCACATATGATTACCATATGCAACTGTCTATAATTACAAATGCATCTGCATCTACAATTCTCTCTGTAACATAATCCTATGAAACACCCATGTAAATGCATGTCCTTGGAAGGGATGACACGGTCCATAATAGAATCCCCGCACGTGGGAGAGACATCGAACATACAACATGCAATCTCCCCCCCAAAAAATACAGCGCGAAGCGCGTGTAGATGAGTCACATGTACAATACCACAGTGGAGAGGAAGTGACCTGGTACTGTGGGTCGGCCACGTTGTGAAGCTACCGCTATTTGGAATTCAGTTTACTCCGTATAACGTAATATAATATACTCCGTACATACTAGCATGAACGACTGGTGTGGGCTTTTGATACATGATAATAAGTCTTGTATGATCCACTTGAGACATGTCCGGATTAGGACATGGGAGCTTAGAGCGGATGCTGGTGCCTGTACCTGTCGGTGCCTCGGCTTGGCAGAGAGGTTTGGTTTATCTTTCGTTTTTGATATTGTGAGTCAGAGTCACTTCCTTTTTCCCGAATTTAGATTGCGTCTGTTGGGTCCGGTAGAGTGGAGGTGTCACTAGGCAACAATGGAGTGTAGAGTGAGTGTACTTAGGGTTATGGGTGTACTTGAATATGATTTTTGGTCGCTTACTACCAAGACTACACGTATGTATACCTAGTTACCTATGTATCTACATATAGGTATGTCGATGTAGTTGTTTCAATATCGGGAGGATGTAGGTCATGTCTTAGATGGACATAAGCCGGGGTAAAGCACGATAATGAGCTTTACTATAACACATAAAATACATCGCAAATCACATCCCATACCCCTCGCTCATGGTCTACGGCAGAGCTGAAAACGCCTGGATCTAAGATTATCACAGAACCGAAACATACATTGACGCAGTCGAGATCAACATTCGCTTTATTGAGGTCAGGTGAAACCCCGCCAACAGGTAATAGGTCCGTAGACACGAGCTGTGTTTCGGCTTCAAAACATGCAGACAAAGATATCAAGATTAGGATGAGCACGATGTAGACAGACGTAAGCATAAGCCCCGAGACGGGAGTAGTAGGCAAGTGGTAGGCGTATTTACCAGTCCTGGCCACTGGTACTTTCAAACCCAGTACTGGCCCCAAAGCCCCTTCGCCTCTTCGCTGCCGTGGAACTGGAACTCGACGGGGATGATATCATCAAAGCCCTCGTCTAGCGTGGGTGCGCGGAAGCGGCGGCCGAAGTCACCGAAGGCAATGCCGGGAAGGGAGGTTCGGGATTCGGGGTTCTGGTCTGGATAAGAATGATGACGGTATTGAGATTGGGATGGGGATATTTCCAATACATACTAGTTCTTTGTTGGACGCTCGGACGGCGTTGTTATGTCGGCATAGGTCTGGTGTTGAGATGAATTGCACGCAACGGACGGGGATGTTGAACTCTTTTGCGAGAGATGTCCAGTGAGCCCGTGTTTCTGGGTCGGCGTTGGTGTTATCTAGATGGTAGTCGGGTTAGATCGCTTGAAAACTGAAGCTGAAGCCGAGATAGAAATAAATGCCACGACGTACCAACTGCCACGGACTTCTTGGCTTCTAGATGCTCGCGCGCGACCTTGAGGCATTTCGGGCGCTATTTTTCATCAGTATTCGATTACAGTTTCATTCCGGGGTTAGTCATAACGCGTACCGTCTTGAGAAGGTCTTGGTTGACTCGTTCATAGCCGAGAGGCTCCAGGTGGTTCCAGTAGAAAGTGGACTTCCCGGCACCTGGGCTTCCACAGAAGATGACAAGTTCAAGTGGGTGCTTGCGAGTAAAGGGTTTGGCTGCGATGAAGACCTGTCAACAATCTGCTAGAGTTGGGTTTCTTGGGAATATTAAATTCATTGGAACTAACAAGACAGCACATACCGGGTTCTTCGAGATCTGTCTTTACGAATGACAGAGGGTCAAAGCCCATCGTCGCCGGCTCCGTGATCTGCCCGAGGAAAAACTCCTCCGGGGTCTTGAATGGCATACCGATGTTGGTAGCAAGTCCCCTAGACACAAGATCAGATTTTGTCACAACGTACCACAGTTGTGATGCTCTTACCGATCCACAGCTGAATGATCGCCTGGCCTTCCAGCCGCATCACCGACGAAAACCGATGCGGGCAAGTCAACACCCGCGACGTCCAGATCGTAGTCATCCAGGAACTCACGCCACATCCCGATACGGGGTTTCCTATATTCAGGGTCTGTGGTGGCCGCGTAGACGCTGACGGGGAAATCTAGTTCCGCCATGACGGCGGTCATCTTTTCCTTGAAGTTCGACAGACTTTTTGAGTCACTCCGTCCACCCTTGATATCCTTCTGGACACTGATCTTCTTTTGATTGGAGAAAATCACAACTTGGAAGCTGTCAAAGTATAAGCTCAAGTGAACCCAAGTAAACCCACACTCCGAGTCTGGACATACCCTTCAGCATTAAGCTCCTTCAGTCGCCCCGGGACTTTGGCGTTCCACCATTGCCAATCAGTGGCAGACTTAGGGAAGACATTTCCCGATTTGGTTTTGATCAAAGTAGAATCCTATATATTGAGGTCAGTAGGGCCCTCCTATTTCTCGACGCTTCCTGTTCTGGCGTTCGGTTTCAAGCACTGACCAAATCAAAGCCAGCGATTCGGCGCTGTTTCTCAGTGGGAGGGACTGCGTTGCCCGTTATCTGCTTTCCAATGATAACACTGGTGCCGATGACGCGCCATGTGATCGGTTCGGGCTTCTTTTGCGAGGCCGGGGTAAAGAAGTTTGCCGCCGATCTCTCTATAGGTTGATTACTATTAGCGGGTGGAATGCCCTGGTGGATAGTAAAAACTTACTGGTTACTGTTGTCTCAACCTTCCTCCGCAATGGTGGTGGAGAGATGGCTTGCGTGGGGGAGGCGCTTCTTTTGGCTGCCCCCTCGGCCATTCTGACAGCCCGTGTGAGTGAAAACGTCGTGACGGGGTTATAGGTAAATTGAGGTGGGTGTTGGTTGATTCAATCAGTTTTCGCTGTGAGTTGTAGTTGAATCCAAGATGGGTGTTGGACGCGCCGAGACGCGGGAGAAATCACGAAGTCACATGTTCTTGAACATTCAATTGGAATACAACAGAGATGTGATATATGCAAATGATGAATAAAATCCCCAAAAAATAGATAGGATGGGAGATGGTTCCCTTCTGAGAAAGAAGTGAACTCGGAATAACTCATTCTGATATCCCGGAAAGGAAGAATGGATGTCACGGCGCTAAAACGCACGCGCAAGCTCGGATGGATGATATCTCCCGTTGAAACCAGGCAGATAGGGTTTTTGTTTTTTTTCTTTTTCTTGGCTTTTGTCGAGAGACGATTTGCAAGGGTTTACCCGCTCAGTCCGATCCTATCTGGACAAGAGTATAGGCGTTGATCTTTTACTTGTGGGACTCTAGGGGTTCTTTTTGGTCATATATGCTTCTGTATTCACTCTTACCCTAAGATGGGAATAAAAATATTTAGTGGAATTGATTGCTATGATGGGTATACTTCTTCTTTCCCCCTAATTCAAAAAGAAAGAAAGAAACGAAGAAAAAAAAAGGTTGAGATGTCTATCAACGCCGTCGCTGGAGACCGGGTATTTCGTGATCTCCAGCATGCTCAAACGAACCGAAGTAGGAGTGACCATCTACTTCGCGCGGGTATCCAGAGACAGTCGATCTGCCTGTTCCAGGACAACCGCCGACTTCAACTGCTCACGCAGGCCAAAGAGATGCTGCGAGGCAGTTTTCATCGTTTCTTGGTTGCTACCGTCCTGAACAATGATGAAGGCCTGCAGCACATAGCTTCCGCTCTTCTCGAACAGAGTCATGTCCTTCAAAGCGGGTAGTTGCCGCCTGGGCAGACTCAACTCATCACCACTAGGGTAGTGCAGCACGCGATGCAAGAAGATAGCAATATCATTGTGGATGAACATATCACCTTCGACCACATACTCAGTAGTGAAACTAGAACAGACAGGGTTAGTGCCCGCGATCATAGGATCATCCTTGGTAGCGCCACTCACTGATAACCCCAGGCATTCATAGCTTGCACGACATCTCCCCGCGGCAGCGTCGCACTCGACATCAGACGGGACGTGACCGCCGAGCGGGTGCCAGCTTCAGGGATATCACGAAACTCCAACTTCCATGGCTGACGTTCATAGTCATAGGAAGATGGAGATGAGGAAGATCCATAAGGCTTGGAATCGTCCATGCCGGCCATCTGGGTGTCTTGGTCGACGGGAGTAGTGGATCCGAAATCCGATTCGGAAACCGGACCAACCACCTGGGTGTAGTACATGTTCCCATTGAGCATCTTGTTCAGCCGCTGTAA